CAGGTAGGTTGAGGGCTCATTGGCCTCCCGCATCTTCCTAGCCACTTTTTACACTGATCCACTCCAGTGAAGTTAACTCACATGGAGCTAAGATTGGAGGAGCTCTCAGCATTAAGCCAGACAGAATGAGAGAAGAGAAAGGCAGGGATTTATTCTTTGTTTCATTAGAATTGATGGCTCCTGAATAAGTAGGCACACGGTTCCAAAATACATTTTACTAGCTCTCAGTTAAACTGTCCTTTGTGTTTTTTCTTCTATGTCCTTGCCTGTTATTGCTACTTTCCGGAATGGGGGTGTGGAAATGGAAGCTGTCTTTCATAACCAGTGACCTCTTATGTCAGTGATGTGGGTCATGCTATATCAACTCCGTTCTTATGTCTAATGTCACAAACATTGGATTAAGGCATCACTGAATGAATCAATTAGAAAGGTAATTATTGAGAGGGAAAGCTTCTAATTACACTGGAAATAATAATGAAAATAGCTTACTGTCATTTTAGAATTCAATTATATGCCTGTAGATTGAATAACCTGTTTAGGTCAGGTTAATCTACCTCAAGAAAAAAACCCCAAAACAAAACAAAACAAAAAAACAGGCTGAAAAAATATTCAGAAATATGGAAGATCTTCCATATAAGAAGAAGGTCTGAGACTATTTAGAATGAAAATGAATAAGATTCTACCGTACAGATCCATACAACAATTAGTATGACATAAAGGAGATAATATAGGTAAGGGTAGTTATCTTTTCTCATCATAGAAGAGCAAAGGTACATGCAATGAAATGAAAAGACAACAAACTCAGAAAAGACCAACAGACTTTTTCTAACACTATGCATAATTAATATGGGGTCCTACACTCACACTATATTATTGTTTCTGTCATGTCTGTCTGTCTGTCTGTATTTCAATCATGGTAATGCCTACAGGCCCTAATTTCAGGCAGCAACCCCCTTGGCTAGCAGTTTTGCCAGCAAATTGAAGACATGGTCCCTGTCCCAAAGAGCTTACAATGAGGCTCACAGCTTAGCAGAATTGTTATTATTATCCCTCTTAAGTACTGGCAAACTAGTTAAATGGACTATGTGAGAACAATCACAAGTATGTAATCTGATATAAAAATTATAAGGGATTTCAACTGTCCAGCTTCACATTATTAGCCAAACGCAGGGCTCAAGACTATCTGTCTCCTGGGCAGGTTTTAACATAATTCTCCTATTTTGTGGGTTCTTCGTCTAATTAAGTATCAGGGGCTTACTTCTCCTGGAGTTGCCTCCAGGCCACTAGCAAAATTCAAATGTTTAGTTTCACTATAATTTGGATAGGATCAGCAATGCAAAAAGTATAATAAAAATATACAAGGCAACTTCATTGATATTGTAGGTGCTTCTTTGTAACTGCCTGAGCATTTCAAAACTAACCAAATGAGAGTTGCATTTATTTCCAGTTAAACTTCTGGGGATCTTTTCTTGACTCTGTGACACTGTTTTTAGGAAGGGGTCCAGGTACTAGGTAACATCTTGCTCTCAATGAAGTCAATGGAAGTTTAGTCCTTGACTTCAGTGGGGCCAAAATTTCATTCCCTGACTTTAATGGAGTCATACTGAGGTAAAGTGTGTGTGTGTGTGTGTGTGTGTGTGTGTGTGTGTGTG